GCACCAGCCACCTTGCCAGGAGGGGGCGCCCCGCACAAGCCGGCCCTCTCCTGGGGCCTCTCTGTTCCTCCATGTTGGGGAGCATGCAGGGGGGTGTGGGGGTGTTGCCCAGGGTGAATGCAGGTGCCCGCGCAGTGGTGGGCAGCCTCGGGGCCCCTCCTGGGTCGCCGTGGGAAGCCAGCCGGCTGGGGGCCTGGGCAGCGGCCGGAGCTCACTCCTGGGGGAGCGGGGCTACTCGGGAGGCGAAGGCCCCCCCTTCCCACATTGGCCAAAGGGCAGACGTCCAAGCCATGGTACAGGCTTTAGAAAGCACCTTTGGCTCTCCTATGGGGGGACCCTGAGTTCTGATTAGCTAGCCAAGCACTGCCCTCCAGGGTTACATGCACCCAAGGAGTGTGTACCCCAGGAAATATCCTGCACCCAGGGAGTGTTTTAGGGTCACCTGTCCCTCTGAGCCCCACTCTACCAGGCCAGGTGGACAGGCCAGACCTTGAGCCCAGGGTTCCCCAGACTTGAGCCTGATGGAGAATTGTGGCCCCTGGATCCAGCTCAGACTACAAATGTCACCAGCTCTGGGGGGCCTGGGGTGGCCACAGCCCAGGGGTGGGGTCTGGGCAGGCGGGGGGTCCCTAGGCTGGTCACAGTTGACCCTCCCAGCCTACCACCCTGTCCCCCAGCACTCTGCGGTGCAGAGAATGCAAGGACACGAGGGGACGAGGGGCTGGGCAGCTGCTGGCCACAGGCCGGAGCCTGGCTTGGGGGTGAGCAGCTGTGGGGCCCTGAGTGCGGCACCCCATGCCTGCCCGGTGGCTGCAGACCCAGCGGCGACAGGGCTGGAGACCCGCACTCGAAGCAGGGAACTGGGGGGGCTCCGCAGGCAGCCGTGAGCAGGTGGCCCCCGGGTGGGGCAGCCCGTGTTCCAGGGAGGGGCCGTCGGGCCTGCCAGGTCTTCTGCTGGGCAGCTGGGAGTGCAGTCCAGCCCGCCCATCTACCCCTGGGCGGCCCCAGGCTGCAAGGTGGGCCAAGGCCCCGCACCCCAGCGGCAGCCTGCCAGGCCCTCCGGGAGGCAGACAGCGGGCAGCCTGGGGGGGGCCCGCGGGCGGGGTCAGCGGGCAGGCCGGGTGCGAGCGCCCGCGTCAGCCCTGGAGAGGGCAGCGCGCAGAGCCTGGCCCCATGGCCCATGGGCAGAGGCCGCTCCGGCCCTTCTCAGGGTGTGGCGACCCAAAGGCGGCCAGTGAGGCCCTGTGCGCGCAGACCCCTGGCCTGCTGCCGGGTCCAGTCCCCCCACCCCGCAGGACGCAGAAGGAGACGACCTGGAGCAACCCCACCCTGGCCGCGCCCCCTCGAACGCGAGTGGGGTCCTGGCGGCTTTGTCCCGTCCCCAGGGCAGGGAGGTGGACAGCGCAGCGCCCTCCTGAGGGACGCTGGTGCGCCCCGCCCCGCCGATGGGCCTCGGCCTGGGGTGCGGGCGGCCCGGCTCGCCGCCCACCTCGCAGACCAAAGGGGGTGGGGTCGCTCTTTACTTCCTGCCGCTTGGCCTTTCTGTCGGGGCCGGAGGGAGGCGCTGCGGAGAAGAGGGACAGACAGCGGCCGTGAGGCCGGCGGCGCGCGGGCCTGGGCCGCGGGCACGGGG